AGGAAAGGCAGCGGCGTTGGAGGCGGAGGTCGGACGGCAGGGATGACCGGCGAAGAATGGCGTCTGGCGGCTGCAAGTTGACGGCGATGATGGCGGCTGTTGAAGACGAAGAAGAAAGAAGAAGAAGAAGAAGAAGAAGAAGAAGAAGAAGAAGAAGAAGAAGAAGAAGAAGAAGAAGAAGAAGAAGAAGAAGAAGAAGAAGAAGAAGAAGAGGAAGGAGAAGAAGAAGAACGAAAGAAGAAGGAAGATAAGGATCGTGTGGCTGAAATTTAGGTTTAGGTTTATTTAATGGTCCCATTCCAAAAAGGATTGGGCTTCGGACCCAAAATACCTGATTAAATGGTCATAACATGAGCCCCATAACTCCGATTCGCGAGTCGTCTGAACCGACGCGATCACAAAAATATTTCCTACGAGATGACATAAAAGTTGGGCTTAGAATCCAAACTATAATTTTAACCCCTTTTTAGGCCCAATTCGTAATCAATTGCTCTAACAATTTAATTAATCCTTTTGGGCCAGATTTCGGGGCGTTACATTTGAATTCTTGTTCATTCGGAAATTTGCAGGCTTTTTTTAACCTCAATTCTTCCTAGATCGAATGCCAATTTGTGGGGCTCTTGGGCGGACTCGTATGCTATCTTAGATTCATAAGGTTGGTGTGATTTGAGCAAGGCTTTGGTCTTGGGTTCACTGTTCACCGCGAGACTTTGGAGGCCAATATCTACTAGGTTTATGCTTGAGTTTGCCCCAATTTTCTTTTGAGTCTTGGTCCTTTTTAGGGGCTTTTCACTATCTAAACTTGGTTTGATTCAATTTTAGGGTGGTGCAATTCCTAATTCATTGTCACTATTCATTTTCTTCTTTGTTGACCTGTACTTTTTGATTTCGAGGATATGCTGAGGGTGGTTTTTAAGCACTTCGGCATTGTTAGGTTGTTTACAGCTTTCCCCATTGGGCTTTTAACATCAGGTTTCTTTATTTCGTTGTAAAACGTATACAATTCTTGCGCTTCTAATAACATTGTAACAACTACGGATATGGGAAGTGTTTTTAACTATTTAAGCATCTGAGTTTTATTGAGCCACTATCTAAAATTTAAAGTCTTTCTGCCATCACCAACGATCTGCTATTTATTTGGTCTCTCTATCATTTTTATTATTCTCTGTCGATCTACCGCTGTCGCAGCGCTCTTGATCTCTTCCATATACATCTTAATTTTATTTACTCTCTCCTCAATTTTGTTGTTTTTAATGTTTTATTGTTGCTATTTTTAAATCAATTTCTAATAACTATGAATGTCTAGAGAGCCAATTAGGTAAAAAAGACTTCAAAGCTGACTTCGGAAAGCAATACTGACCCATACCCTATTATTTCATATATATGTATAAAATGATGAAAACAATCCAATAAATCCCATGAGTTTACTTTCAATACTCTATTTCTCACTTCATGTTTATGACTTATGCTCAAATACATATCTTACTGGGTTCTTAATCCTAACAAATACAAAAGTTGCTGAAAACAGGTTGGAGTCAGGCCATCTTTGGGATAACATCTGGAGGTTGCAAATGTGCAAAAATCAAATAAAGTGGGTGAGGTTTTAGTGTTGCAAATGAATGACTCAGTGGGTGATGTTTTCCAAATCAAAAAGTGGAGCATCATAGGAAAGAAGGAATTTTAAACCCTAACGAGGAGGACAATGATGAGCCTCTAGAGGAGAACTTGTATGATAATCAAAGTTGGGTGCTACTGGAAACAGACTACAACATCCAAACAAAGGGCCTTGAAACTAGTATTAAGGCTAGGCAAAAGAATTTATTTTCCAAGAAGGAAAGGCGTAAGAAATAGGTAATCTACGAGCTATCTGAATATTTGATTTTAGGGCTCATAGTATCTATACATGGCTTTTAAGGCAGTATAAGCAATATGCTTGTCTCTTTAGCAGGTACTCTGTGCTATAAGGGTCTTTGTATTGCAATGATGTGTTCGCTTGATGGTTTGGGTTTTGAACTCAGTGTGGCTTCATAAGTTGAGCATGCTAAAAGATATTTGTTGGTTGATCTTTATATTTCTATCTTCTTAGAACTATGCATGGCCTTTTAAGTTTTCAGGATGTTCATCTTGCTGAAAGGTTGCCAGTTACTGCCTCAATTCAGAGGCATCAATGTTGGATGATGGCTGCTGGTCTAGTTACGATTGTGCTAAAAATATTACTAGGTCTTGGACTACTTTTGTTGATGACTAGGATTTTTGGAGTTTTTTATGTTGAGGCTTCAAAGTTGGATAATGGTGCTAGATTTTTGCTCGTGGATGTCTAGAACATTGCTGAACATAATGATGCTGAACACAAAACGCAGAGTGAATTTTTCATTGTGAACCATGGTTTCTATTTTGCTGGTTGTAGACTATGGTGATTGTATTTAGCATTGGATTTGGCTTTTTTAGATTGTTATAGGGTTTTTTCTTCTTTTTCTTTTTGTTTTATTGTTTTTTCTAAGGGGCTCGGTTTGGTCCTCCCCTTTGTACTCTCTTTACTTATATTAATAAAATTATTTATATATATTCGATGTGTAAAGTGAAAAATAATTGATGTGTATATAACCGATGGATAACCTCTCACGTTTACATAGCGAATATTTACTCGTTGTGTAAAGTTTACACATTAGATATTAATCCGATGTTAAAAGTGCAAAAGAACCGTTGTCTATTCAACTGATGCAAAAGCTCTTACATTTACACATCGGATAAATCTTCGGTGTGTAAACTTTACACAGCGGATAAATATCCGCTGTGTAAACATGAGACCTTTCCCATCGGTTGCATAGACAGCGGTTAATTTGCGATGGGAAAAATCTTATTTATCCGCTGTGTAAAGTCTCTTTTGTAGTAGTGATTCTTTCTTCTCGAGTCGAAGAACGATGACGAGGTTTCATTGCCAGTCTAAGAAGTTAGAGTCGGTCAACTTATCTTTGTCGAGGATCGAGCGAAGAGTGAGGTTATGGTTGTTATTAGACATCTACATATAATTTGCAAGATAGTTAATATCAAGAAACTAAGTAATTAGCTAGGTCTTTAACTAATAACTCTCCCACTATTTTAACAAATCAACTACCCTCAAGTACGTAACCTGTTGATTCGAGACTTCTCCTAAAGAGATATCTTAGTGGGCCAAGGTCCATATTACATTTAACTATAGTTGTGCTTTGCATCTTGCCCTATAGTTAAACTAATTAGGTAGGAACTTATTTCCAATTGTGATCCAATTACAATCCTTGGTTTGTTAGGTTGTCTTAAATAAAATCCTATATTGGGCCTAGATCCTTATTTCATCTAATTATAGTTGTGCTTTGCATCTTGCCCTATAGTTAAACTATTTCAGGTAGGAACTATTTCCAATTGTAACATTTTACAACTCTAGGTTAGATGAATTTGATTTTATTTATTAACCTAACCATGTGCCTCTAAGTTATTCATCTTTTTACCTTAACTTAGTGAAGTTCATGTAACGCCCCAAAACATACCCTAAAATTTTTAATAAATAAATATTCAATTAGTCAAATTTGTTTCGATTAAAATAAATAGTTATTGAGATTTGGGCCGAAATGAAATGTGTTTTGACATCCAATATCACAAATCAAGATAAGTCTCATAGAGATAAATCCAATATGTTGAGTATTTGTGTGGTCTTGATTGGGAACATAAGTACAGACTCAAATCAAGAATAAATAAAAAAATTATTTATAATATGAACTTTAAAATGATTTATTTATATAAATCATAAGAACAAATGATATGAATTAAATGTGAGAACCTTTTTGAATAAAGGTCAAATAAACCAATTTTGACTCTGTCAAAGTCAAACACTCAAAAATATGATGTCGAAAAAAGTATTTCAAATAAATATAAAAATTATATAGTTGGATAGAATTCGACTGTTTGATCGCAAAGATGCAAACGGATTTCAATTCGGAGAAAGTTGGACCAAAAAGTGTACCCCGACTGGAACCAAAATTGGTCCCAATCAGGGACACTGTAGAGATTGCGCCTCCTCCTCCACTAAGGATACGCCGATTGGAATGATACAGCAGGCTTGGAAGTTTTCCCCATCTCCTTCCTATATAAGACTACCAAAGCTTAACAATTTCTTCACCATTTCTCAAAATATTTCATCTTATTCTGTTGCTCTGAGTGAGGAGAACGTAGTGGTGTTGTCAATTTGGTGTGAAGTCGTCGGAGTTAAGAGATATCATTGCCGGAAGTTTCGCCGGAAAATTTCCAAAAACCTGCATTAAGCTTCGAGGTAAGCCCGTAGATATATCTAGTGACTAGAATGTTCGTATAGATCGTTTCTACGTTCATAAATGGTCGTTTGGTTGAGTTTTGTGTTTGACATGTTT